CCTGCTGCATTGCGAGAGCAGTGCCCGAGGGCAAAGGGGGCTGAGCACAAAGGGCCAGCAGAATCACGGGCTGCGGACGGGGGGCCCTGGAATGTGCCCTCGCATGCTGGTCTGTCCCAAGCTCTCGCCGCACTGCGTGCTCTGCACAGTTGTCACTGCCAGTCCCGAGGGCTGCCTGTGTTGTTGTGGCGCCTCCTGGCTTGCTGTTGGGAAGCATTGTCCTGGTGCAGACGGTTGTGGCTGCGGCTGGAGGGCTCCCACCCTGCCCCTTCCTCCCTCTCGCCCTGCTGTGTCAGGTCCAGAATGCGCCCTGGGGCCAGGGCGCTCCTGCCCTTCCCCGCACTAGGTGTTCTCACCGCCCTGAGGTGAGTGGCCCAGCCTCGGGCCTCACGCGCAGCACGTTCAGTCTGAGTCTGACCCTGTGATGCGCTGGTCTGGCTCCTGGTCCCCCCGTTACCCACAGTTTGTTCATTGAGTGCGTGTGAGAGGACTCCACCAGCTGTGGGCAGGGAGGGCCTGGAGCTCTGAAACAGGAAGACCATCCCCACGTGGGCTGTGAAGGTTTAGCGAATTAACATTAGGATACCACTGCCAGAGCTCCAGCCTGTGGTACTTCCGCATTCTCTTTCACTAAGTTTCTGTTTAGTTATCAGTTTGACACAGAAATTGGCACCTTTCCAGGTGACAGAGTGTGCTGATGGAGGAGCAGAACTGGCTCTCTAGGAGCTGCAAGTGTGGGGCCTCATCAGGGCCTATGCGGGGTGCACTCAGGCTGGCCTGTGCCGTGCAGGAGAGACTCGGGGGGAAGAGTGTCCTGTAGGGTGGGCTAGCTCAGGAAGGACCCCTGCCAGCAGGAGCTGGCTCCCTTGGCTGGGCTGGCAGCAGAGGGCAGCCCTGGCACTGCTGCTGCAGACTGTCCAGTCTTGTTCTGACGCCGTCCACCCCTCATAACAGGCTGGGCAAGCTTTCTGTAAAGGGCCGTAGAGTCTGTAGTCTTGGCTTTGCTGCTTGCTCCCGTTAGCTCTGCCTTTGGAGCTTGAAAGCAGCCACAGGCAGCACACAGATGAGAGGCTGTGGCCACGGCCAGTAGCACCACCTCTGCAGACACAGGCAGTACTGCATTTGGCCCTTGGACTAGCTTGTAGACCCTGCCTCATAGTGATGGTAATTCATGTATAACCTTGAGTGTGACAGCATCTCAGCCTGACCCCCTAAAGTCCAGTGCCCCATGCGTCTGGTTGTGCCAGCAGTCCCAGCTCTGCTGGTCTCTGAGACTTCCTTCCCACCCCTCCCCCCCGATGGCTGTCGATGTTGGAAGTTTAAGGAAGTTTGGAGCCATCCCCAGGGGAATGCAGCCATGGGGTTGGGGTTCCGTCCAGCATCTCCTCTGGCCACCCACAGGGATTATGCCATTGTCCCATGGCAGAGATGGCTTTTACTGACTGGCCGTGCTGCTGTGGACAGCTTCATGGATAGTCTTGTCCCAAATGCCCCTTGGTGTTTTCTTAAGTTGCCAGGGAACAGCCGAGGGCCTTGGGTTGCTTTTTACCAAACCCACTTCCATTCTGGTCTCATCTTCTGTCCTCTTTAAGGGTGCCAGCCGGGCTGCCGACGATGCTGAGCGGGAACGCCGGGACCGGGAGGAGCGATTGAGACACTCCCGGAATCCAGCCACCCGTGGCCTCCCCTCCACGGCTTCTGGCCGCCTTCGAGGGACCCAGGAGGTGGCTCCCCCAACACCTCTCACCCCTACCTCACACACGGGTGAGTGCATCCTTTCCAGCACACTCTTCCTGTTTTGCGTTTTGAGGAGTCACTGTTGTGGGGGCTCTCTGGCTGCTCCAGTGTGTGACCTCATGTGGGAGCCCAGGCCAGGCGCACCTGGTGGTCAACGGTGTGTGCACCCCCCTGAGTCCATTCTTGTCCCTGAGAGTAGACGGGCTGGGGTACAGGTCTGGCTGCCTGTCCGCTTTCAAAAACAAAGTACTCAAAAGTCACACACTGGTGAAAATGTTGGAAGTAAGCTTTTACGCAGGAATCCCGGTGACCTGAGGAGAGATGGTGGGCTGACCCGTCTCCAGTAAACCTGAAGGACCATGGCCAGACTGAAGCCAGCTCCAGGACTCAGACTTACTGAGGGGGTTTAAGAGGGGGGTTGAGGGAATGGAATGTGGGGAGAGGGAGGGGACGGACAGGGGCCAGGTGCAAGGTCTCGCCAGGGCTCCATCTGGCTTCTGCTCACGTCCTTGCTGTCACATCAGGGTCCTGCCGGAGGGTGGAGTCAGCAGAGCTTTAGTGATGTCGTCTTTGGTTTCCAGGCGCCAGACTGAAGCCAGCTCCAGGACTCAGACTTACTGAGGGGGTTTAAGAGGGGGGTTGAGGTTGAGGGAATGGAATGTGGGGAGAGGGAGGGGACGGACAGGGGCCATGTGCAAGGTCTCGCCAGGGCTCCATCTGGCTTCTGCTCACGTCCTTGCTGTCACATCAGGGTCCTGCTAGAGGGTGGAGTCAGCAGAGCTTTAGTGATGTCGTCTTTGGTTTCCAGGCTTTGATAGTATGTGCGAGTCTGCAGCTCCAGGCTGACTGGAAAACAACTGTGTGTAAACAATGTCATCTTGCTCCGTAACCAGCGTTCAATGTATCAAAATAACCATGGGAAAAGAGGGAGCTGAGACAAAGGCATGCCAAGAGAAAACTGTCACTCTAAAATTTGCCTGCGGCCCATGTAGTTTTACGTCCCAGCATGCTTCAGTCCTGCTCACTTAGCATCTTAGAGGATTAGGTTCCTGAAAGCTGTTACTGCTGGTCATAATTTCTTACTTAAAGCTTTCTTCTTTCTCATGACACACATTCTCCTCATGAACTTTTGGGTACTCATCTGAGTCCCCGTGTGCTGCAGGCGGCACAGGGCTTGGAGCGCACACCCCCTGCCTGCCAGCGGGTGTTCCTGAGCCAGCTGGACACCTGAGCTGATGAGCAGAAGCAGTCCGGGGAGGGCCTGTGTGTTGCCAGTGGCCGGGGCCATCGGCTGCTGTGGCAACTCCAATCCAGTGAGATATCCAAGCAGCCAGGAGTCCCCACTGGCCATGGCTTCTGAGGAGAGACTCCCCTGTGCAGGGTCCCCCACCCGGTCCCAGGTGGCAGGTGGGGCAGCTCACCCCAGCCTCTCTCTTGCTCCTCAGCTAACACCTCTCCTCGGCCCGTCTCCGGTGTGGAAAGAGAGCGGAAAGTGAGCATGCGGCTGCACCGCGGGGCCCCGGTCAACGTCTCCTCCTCCGACCTCACGGGCCGACAAGACACCTCTCGCATGTCCACCTCACAGGTATGGGCCTGAGCTTGCCGTTGTCGGGCAGGGGGACGGGGTTGGCCCAGGACCGTGACTTCCTTGCTGGGCCTGGGCGTACGGGCCCGGTGCCGGCAGTGGGATAAGATGTTAGAGCGGTTTGTGTCCCTCCTTCCTCCCCTTCCCCCCCCATTTCTGAGAATTGTTAACCCGCCGGGGAAATTGTGCCCCGGGTTGCTGTTCCGGCTTCTTGGTCAAGAGCCTCAGAGACCAGCCGTGCTTTGAAGGGCTCATTTTCTCTGCCCTGGTGGGACAGGACACGAGGGCTGCTGTCTCCTGCTGCTGATCTCTGCATGCCCCAGCCGTCTTCCCCACACGGACTGCAAACTGCACGCCTGTTCACACCTTGTCAGGAGTGGCTTGTGGGGGGCACCCTCCTTTCCTTGCTGACCAGGAGCTCACCCTACCCTGGGGAGGCAGTGGCACCGCTGGCAGAGTACCTGTAAGGGTACGCGTGTCCTGTTCACACTGTGGACCAAGGACAGAGTCCTGTTAGAGCCTCCACGGGCTCCACGGTGGTGGCGTTCCCAGCGGCGTGCCACGTGCTGTCTGCTTTCTTCTCTCTGACGAGACGAGTGCTCAGAGTGGCAGGCCTGCCGCACGGCGTGGGCAGGGCAGGGCGTCTCCTTCTTGTGACCATTTCCTCCACCACCATCCTCCGTTCTCACTCTTCCTTGTGTTGTTGTCCTTTTGTGTTCGCTGACATGCCTCTTTCGACAGACTAAACTGCTTTTTACCCATGTACTGATTTTCTTTCCTCGTGGCTGGCGGGGCTTCCCGCCCGCAGGGGCAGGGGCTGGGGAGTCGAGGACGAGCCCCAGCGGGGCTGCTTCTCATTCACCCGCGAGCATCCTGCAGGTGCCTGGGGGTCGCCCTGGGCCATCTGACTAGATGAGCGGGAACTCAGTTCAGAAATGCTCAGGAGCTGGGTTCTGGGCTGTGGGCAGGCGGCACCTGTTGGGCACAGGGTGGCGCCTCGGTGAGGCCTGGCGCGCTGCTGAGTGCGGGCCGGGCGGGTTGGCTTGGCTGAGAGAGCACAGGATCCCCGAGGCCGGCGTCGGACAGGGAGGCGGGTCCACTGAGGCAGGAGCTCGTGACTGCTGGTCTTGTAATCAGATAAAACAGAGAGTTTTGACGTCTCTAATTCACTAATAGCTTTTTTAGAAACAGATATTTTCATGTGATAATTTCCTCAGAAAGACCAAAGGTGCATAGAGTGTGAACGACTGTGTCCTTGTCCTGTGGGGCGTGAGGGGTCTGGCCACATCACGAGGCTGCGCACACTCCCTGCCCCCACACCACGGGACACAGAAGGGGCCGACGGCTTGCTTCCCACGAGCCCGGCATCCCGGAGTCAGCCACTGTGAGCAGGTCCTGGGAGGGCCGCCAGCGCCAGTCATCCCATCCCACGCGGGGCCGCTGGGTGGGTGGGCTGTGTCTGGCCTTGGACATCTTCTCGTGAGCAGCTTGACAAGCAAAGGCCAAGGAAGGGGCAGGCTTTTTTTTTTTTCCCCTTAAGAAAGTAAAGCTTCTGGTGGTTTGGGATTCTTGAGGGAAATGATAGAGTCAGAAGGTCCCGCGGGCACCAGACAGTCACAGGCTTGAGTCGAGCAGCCTCTTCTCACTGCATGGCTGGAACGTGCCAGCCTACCAGCCTCAGGTTGCTGAGGACTTGCACGGCTCCAGGGTTGCGGAGGGGAGCACGCGTCCTTCCCTGTGGTGGTCACATGTCTCTGCTCTCTTGGCATATCTGTCTTCCATTTGGAGAAACAATGGGGGCTTTAAAGGGAGGAGTCTCTGGAGAGACTTGATTTGGGGGTGTTTCCCTCCAACAGCAGTACCTTAGCTGTTGTTCCTGGTCACCTTGGGATTTTCTTAACACCTCATGTTCAGGCACAGGCTGTCAGCTGTCCCTGATGCACTTGCCCCGTCTCCAGGGCCAGTGCCCTCCTTTGTCACCTTTGGGGGGAGGGTTTTTCTGGTCAGCCGGCGGCGTCTCCCCTTACAGAGTGTCCCGTTCCCTCCAAGGCCCACCAGCAGCTGCGTGCTTGTTGGCTCTGGGATCCGCAGACCCAGTGCTGAATTCAGCGGAGACAGGAGACTTAGTGAGCTCCTGGAGACCCTCAGCCAGTTATCTGCCCTGGTGCTTTGGAAGTTATAGAGCGGATGTGAGGTTGCCCCAGCTTTTGCCATTCTGTGGCCGCCATTCACACGTGCGCCCCCAGGGGAAGCGGGGATGAAGCAGCCGCAGGCGCTGCGCGTCTCAGGAGATGGCACGCTCGGTGGAGTTACACAAGCAGGAAGGCCTCCTGCTGCTCGCCGGCTCCTCCCTGCCACAGGACCTTGCCCCCTGCCCAGACTTTGCACGGGGGGCAGCTGGTCCCCGCGTCCCTTCTGCAGGGCAGCTTGCTTTAGGCCAGCCACTGGGGCAGCCTGTGATCTCTTAATTTCCGTGTGGGAGTGGGAGTTAGGCCTCTTCAGCCAAAATAACATGGGCCTAAGGGGCATCTGGCTGATTAATCTGTTTGGGGTTTTTCCTCTCTGTGAGAAGAAAGGCCTCACGAGTCCAGCACCATCAGTAAAAGTGCCATTACTTCTTTCTTTGGTTTTTTTTTTTTTTGGTGGCTGGCCAGTGTTGGAAGTCATTTCTTTTGATGACTCATTTTGATCCCCACCCTGTCCAAAATGAGGTCTGCAGCCCAGTTCCTCACGTTAGTCCAGGTGTCCTGGAAGGGGCCGTGCCCTGCACGTGTCCAGGGGTGTTGTAAGGCCTGTGTGTAGGGCCCTGCCAGGGCCGCCCAGTGCCTGCCAGCCCACTGGGCATGAAGAGTTGGGAGGGTCTGCCCGTGCCCTCGTGGGCTGTTGGCAGCTGATCCGAGAAGAGGGGCCGCGGCTGTGCTCATTCAAGGGCCAGTCATGAGAGGCAAGTGAGGCCCAGGCCACTCCTGAGGTCCCCGACGGCACCTGTCAGTGGTCTGCAGACCTGGGCAAAGCAAGGCAAGGAAGCCCGTGTGGACATTAGACCAATGCAGGCAGTTGGGGCCGGCGGGACGCTTACCAACGGCTGTCTTTTCCCCACCCCAGAATAGCATTCCTTTCGAACACCACGGCAAGTAGCTGCTCGTCTCCCATCGGAAGGCAGCACCGGGTGAGTGTGCTCGTGGCGGGGGTCATCAGACAGGTGCCAGGTGGGGTGGGAGCAACCACCCCTAGCCCGCTTGTGGGAGCCCACAGGTGGGGCTGGGCTTGCATGCCAGGTGCTGGAGGCAGACAGGCTTCTTCTGCTTGGTGGTTCTGTGTGGGTTCAGAGCAGCTGTGGTCAACTGCCCGGTCTTGGGGGAGAGCATCCATAGAGAGTCTCCCAACGGAGTGGCCCGCAGGAGACCCTCCTGCTGTGCCCTTGGCCTTCGGCCTCCCTGTGACCTGCTCCGCTGCCATCCCCAGGTGCTTGTGTGCTGAGCAGGAGCACCAAGGCCCTGCCCTCAGGCCTGCCTCCTGGTTGTCCCAGGACACTCAAGCCGCCGGGTCTGGGTCATGCCTGGGAGGTGTGTTTGTGTCGTGCTCAGCTGAGTGGCGCCACGCTTGGTGTTGGGGGCTCTTGCGCTCTTGCTGCGCTCAGACTCCTGGTGGTCTCTGCCCATCTTGGCTTTTTAGTCACCTCTCTTCCTGTCTCTCATTTTTCGCTGTCCTCATTTTGTGTTTCTTTTCAAACTTGGCCTCTGCCCAGACATCTCGTCTATGCAGCTATTGTCCGTATTAACCCATCCAGCCGCAGCTCCCGCTCCCCTGCGTTGGTGCATGGCTGGGTGCCCACACTGCGCTCCCCTCTCGTCAGTGATGCGGCACTTGGTGGTTCCTTCCAGCAGGAGATTGAGCTTTGGTCAGGCTTGGTGCACTGGGAGACATGCTGTAGTGTTAACACTACGTGCACCATTGGAAATGTGTTGACGGGACTTGCCTTTCACATCTTCCCCCAAAGGGGTACCCATTTTCACAACACCAAGTTACTTTCCAGGAAGGGAAGCTGGGAGCAAGTGTCTCCTCCCCACTCAGGTCCTCATCAGTCATTGCCCAGCGTGGCTCCATGGTCCCCTTGCTTGCCTGCCTCTTCTTCCTCGTCTTCCTGTCGTGCGTTCTGCTGAGCACATGTCCTGGCCACAGAGGACCCTCCCCGCGGCTGGGGACACAGGTGTCCAGGGCGGGGCTGGGCGTTGGTGTGTCCCCTCCCTCCCAGGCTCCGTCTCGTCTGGTGGCGTTCCACCTGAGCGCCTGGCTGGCCCCGCCCCTCTGGCCTCATGCTGACCTTCTCCTGTGCTTTGGCTCCGACAGATTCCCGGTCGGGTGGCTTCCAGTGGTCTTCAGTCTGTCGTGCACCGATGAGAACTCTCCTTTTGCTGTGAAGGGCAGACAATGCATGGCTGATCTACTCTGTTACCAATGGCTTTACTAGTGACGCGCCCCCCGGTCTAGACCCAAAACGTTAACACCGGGAGCTCTCCAGGCCACTCACCCAGCGACGCTCATGGGGGAAACAAAATACAAATACACGGACAGACTCCAAGAGCTGCCATCGCCGGGGCTGCCGCCGAGCCCCACGTGGACTCAGTTAAATGGGGCTGGGAAGAAGAGCAGGCGAGAGACGGCTGCAGAGGCAGCCCCTCCAGGAGCCCGCAGCCTCCAGTGCTGGTGAGCCTGTGCTCCCGAGGATCCCACTCTACCCACCAGTCTCCTACTTGGTTAAGACAGTTTTATATCATTTTGCTAAAAATTATTGGCTTAAATCTGTGTAAAGAAATCTGTCTTTTTATTGTTTCTTTCTTGTCTGTTTTTGCTGTCTTCAGAAAAGGTGTTGACTTTAAAGAATCCTGAAACAAAGACACTGGCTTGGAGTTGCTGTGTAAAAAGGAGTCAGGCAGGGAGAGGGCACACATGAATTTCACAGATGTGTTTTGTCTGATCTCGCTTTGTTGTGTTGTCTACCTAAGAGAGGATGCTTCTCATCAGAAGTTCTATTACATGTATGTGTGTGTCTGTGGTGGCGGGAGACCCAGGAGCCAGCTTTTGGCATCTCGCTCTCCCTTCCGCACTGTCAGCTGAAATGCCTGTCGCTGGGAGCTCACAGCAACCATTGGAGCAGTCAGCGCAGGCTGCTACAGAGCAAGGGCACAGCAGGTGTTTCCAGGCACAGCCACGTGCTGTTCTCCCCAGAGGAGGCCTTCCAGAAGGAAGGGGGGACTGAAGAACTTGGAAGCAGAGGCTTTGCGACCCCAGCAGGACAGTCGGGAGTCGCAAGATTAGAAGTGGAGCGTGCACTTCTTGTTCCCGGGGAAGGACTGAGTCGAGAGCCGCTGGGGTCATTCTCTGGGGGTCGTGTATGAAAACTTTGGTGGTGTTTGCTGCCTCAATGCCTTTGAGTTTGGGAAATTTTCTAAACAGATTGTAAATGTTACCATGCGGATTGGCACTTAATGTGTTGACGCTTGTGTGCTCAAAGCCAAGGAGTGGGGCTGTCCTCGCTAGATGCCATGGTTTGCCCACCCTGAAGTGCCAGGAATCATGTAGCTCTCCCAGCCTGAGCCTGGAACCTTCACATCAGAGAAGCATATGATCCTGCATGACCTGAGCAGAAGGAAAGAAACGGGGTGGAGCTAAGTCACAAGAAAGGAAGGAGTCTCCAGGAGCTTGTCCTGTCCTTTAGGGGCTCCCAGGCTGCTGTGCTCTTGGTAGTTTTCTAAGATGCTCTTTCTTAAACCTTTAATTTTGCAGCAGTCAGATATTACTACCGAAGTAGTAATAGCCAGTGGACGTGAGCTCTCCTGTCTCGGGAAACGAGGTGCAATATACGTCCATAGGTACTCACGCATTTCTTCCTGTCGCTGTGGAGTGTTCAGTTTGGAAGCAGCTGCTCCTTGGAAGCTGGGGACCTAAAGGTGTCCACCTTGGCTTTTTTTCCCTTCCTTCCCCCAAACTGCCCTAGCACAGAGATCCTGGCTCTAGGACGCTGTAATTGGTGTGCGCTGGCATCCCAGCCAGCCAGCTATCTGTCCAAGCCCGTAGGTGCTTCTTTCTGAATCCTGAGCTGTTTACTTTGTGAGCATTTTGGGTTGTGGGGCCTTGACTGGGTGGGCTGTGTGTGGGAGTGCAGAGGCGGGTGGGGCGGGGCAGGTGAATCTGAGGTCTCCGTTGCTGCTGAGCACCCTTGTCAGAGGTGAGCTTTCCTCTCTCGGGGAGGTGTCAGCAGCTGCAGGCCTGCAGTGGCGTGCGGCTTCTTTATAAGTACCCGTGGTCCCAAGGCAGTGCCAGGAGGGTGCAAGGCAGCTTTCTGATGTCTGCACCCAGGTGCCAGCCTGGAGTTGCTGGCTGCGTTTGAAGTGGACTTAGATCCCAAGTCCTCGAGGGCCTGTGGTTGTAACAGTTCTTGCCCGATACTTACTCCCCTCATTACTTGCAGGAAACGTAGTTAGACTGTCTGTATCAACCTGTGCATTGGAGGCCAGCCTCTGAGCTGCGTGTTTGTACTGCCACTGTGTTTGTGTACTTCAACAATTGTGTAAATAATAAATTCATGATGACTTCTGCCTTTCTTCCCTGCCCCTTTTATGTGGTCTTTACTTCATTGGCTTGGGACTTTTCAATGTTTAGATTAACTACATGAAAACTAATTTTTTGAGGATGGACATTCCTGTCTGTCCTTTCTCAGACTGTTGGTGTTTGTGAGCTGGTCGGAGCAAGCTGGCGGGGCGGGGCTGCTGCTCCCCGTGCGCGTCCCTCCCACGCTCTGGCGTGCACACAGTGGGGGGCCAGGGGGGTGCGTCCACTTAGGGATGTGGTGCGTGACTTTTCTGAAAAGCCCCTCTCCCCTTAGCGGCCTTCAGGAAAGAGGTCCCAACTGCCACAGCACTGGCAAGAAGCACTCTGGCCGCTCAGGTTTTTGGGAAAGCAAGCCCGGCAGGAGCTGGTGGGATGCCTTGTGCACGCGGCCATGTGGGCTGCTCACGGCCTGGGTGGCGGCTCCGCAGTGGGCCTGTCAGTGCCCGTCTCATTTAAGGGCGCTGTCCACTCCTGGCGTGGCTCTTCTCAGCAGTGAACAGCGCCTGGGAAATCACTGTCCATCCCCCAGGCTCCCTCTGCTGCTGGCGTGATTGAAGTCCTGGCACCGGCTCTGCCTCCACTCTCCGGAGGCGCTGGTAGGTTGGTGCACAGGCACAAAGAGAAGGTGTCCCTCATGTACAATTGAGCAGCCCACAGCAGTGTACCTTTCCTGAGGTCGGGGGCAGGGGCTTTCAGGCTTTTGGATCCAGGTCTGTACCCGTCACCTGGACCTGTCTTCTGTCTCGCAGACTCCTGCGCTTTGTGTGTGTGCTGATGAGCTCAGCAGGGCCAGGCGCCCCCACCCCGCCAGGCACTGGGGCCACTGCCACAAGCACAGCCACGCTGCCTGCCCAACTGAGCAAGGGTGTGCTGGTTTGTGATGGTCAAAGTACTAGAAGGAACTAAGACCAGTCTGGCTTTTGTGTGGCCCCACTGACCCCCACCGTGACACCCCATGGCCAGGGCTCTGTGCCCACCCTACGGCCCAGACTTGCGCTTGCCTCTTCCCCGGCCGCTGGGCTGTGGTCCCCGAGGCCACTTCTCCAGGCCTGCCTCACACAGGTTCTGGGAAAGGGATGGGAAGGACTTCCTCCCGCCCCTTCTCACGTCCCAGTGCCCGAGACTGAGAGGACAGCACTCCCCATGAGCGTGGGTGACTCCTCTTTGCTCCGCTCTGCTCACACTGGCACCAAACCAGAAAGGGCAGGGACGCTAAGTCCGAGCTCCTGCCTGACCTTCTGAGCCCAGAGCTGCCACCTTCGTCGTCCTGCTGGGAGAGGGGCAGGGGCACAGGCCCCGCTTCACCTGAGGGCCGACCGCCAGAGGCAGCCAGCACCCTGAAAGCCGCGCTGCCATCTCACCTCTGAAGGTACATGTGTGTTGCCACAAGCTGGCCGGGTCCTGTTGAGGACGTGGTTTAGACAGAAGAACCGGGTGGTCCCACGGGCAGGCCCTCAGGTCGGGGGGTGCTGCTTCAGAGCTTAACCCACAGACCCCTTGCAAGGCCAGAGGACAGCAGCATCCACTGGCTGCCAGGGCTTTCTGAGTGCCCTGCCTCTTCCCCCAGGGTCCCCCAATGACGCCCAACAGGTGGTCAGGTGGGGTGGCAGCCCACAGTGCCTGGCTCCTTTGCCTCCCACCTCGGGTTTAGGGGTGGCATGATGATGTCTGCTCCCTCCGCTGACCCCAGACCCATGTAGATGTAGGTTTTACGTGGTTGGGTGGACATGCCTCTTTAGGCACAGCAGTGTCGCTAGTGCGGTGGGTCTTCATGGGATGTTGGACATGAGCCTCCTTTGGCACCAGAATCTGCTGGGGACAGCCCTGGCACCCTGGCCCCAGCTTCCTCCCAAGAATTCGATGGCTTTCCTTGATTTTGTTGGCCCCCAGGCCTCATGCCTCGCCCCCCGGGGTCAGAACATGAGGCACCAATGCCCAGGTGTCCAGCCGCCTAAGGACGGGAAGTGTCTTTTCCTTCCATGTCTTGGGCATAGCTGGAAAACATCCGGAACAGTAAAGTGAGCAGATGAGGCCATCTGCACACCACCTCACCCCACGGGTGCACAGAAGCTCCAGATGCTGTAGCCGTGCCGGGGTGTTGCTGCCCTGGCGCCAGGCGCCAGCCCACACAGGTCTGAGGGGCTGCAGGGCCATGCAGCATGTCCTCCCCAGAGGTGCCAGCCGAAGTGCATGGACCCCAGCCCCCAGCGGAGCAGTGGCATCTTCCCAGGGAGTGATCCTGATATGTGACCATCTCAGAATCTCTTCCCAGTGTCCCCAAAGTGTGGCTTTCGGGGACCGCCATTTCCCGCTGCTTCCTATTCCCCTCCCCCCCAGGTCTTGGCCCACTGCGTGCTCTGGGTGCAGGTGTGGGGACAGAGCAAGGAGAAGGAAGGGTTGAGAGCCCAGGCTAGGGGGGGACACCGCCTCCTGCCACTCCGTCCTGGGCTTGGGTGCTGACGCAGCTTAGGGCCAGGGTGGGGGCTGGCTTCAGGCGGAGAGGTGCCGTGACCAGGTGGGATAATGTTAGGGCCTGATGAGTGCTCACAGATGGTTTCAGGAGCAAGCCTCCCCTCTCCCGGTCAATGGCCACTCTTCTGATGGCCCCTCTGTAAGGCCAGGGTAACTGCTGCAGCGCAGGACCCAGGGCAGCCAGGTCTGGCTTATAGAAGACTTCTTGGGCCAAGAGAGAAGGCAGGTCTGGGCAGCCCCCCATGGCTCTGAGATACCGAGAGGTGGCTAGAGAGCAGCACACAGGGAAGCCGTGTCCACCAAGGCCCGGTGCCTCCCTCCCACGCTACCCACTCCCAATCTCCTTGCCCCTTTCCCTCTGCTGGTCCATGCAGGCAGCTGCCAAGGACCATGGGGGTTGTTGGCTATATCTGGGCTCAGCCAATCCTGAGGGCCTGGGGCCCCTGCCAGTCCCCACCTTCCATGGGGTAAAGTCAACAGACCCAGGGCAGACTCTCCAGGACACGTGGCCATTAGCTGATCAGGGCTGGGCCTGGACCCCTGTGGCTGCCAGCACTGCCACCAGCCCCTGGCAGAGGAGACAGGGAGGCCAGAAAGGGGAGGGGCCACCCCAAAGCCACAAGGCTGCTGGTGAGGTGGCTGCAAGCAGGTGCCATGAGCTGTAGGAAGTGGAGCCTGCCAGGGGGCAGATCGGGGAGGCTGGGCCTGGGACGTGAGCTCTCGCTTGCTTTTCGTTACAGAGGAGCAGGGACATGGCGTCTCTCCGGCTGCATGCAGCCCGACAGGGCACCCGCTGCCGTCCCCAACGCCCGCGACGTACCACCTACTGAGGCGGCCCCAGCAGCCTCTGACCGGGCTCCCAAGCCATGCAGGTCGCCACTGGCCACGAGGGCAGGTGGGTGTAAGGTCCCCGGGGCGAGTCCTGCACTGAGTGTAGGCTGGACAGAAGAAGATGAGCCGCAGAGACCAGCCCTGGCCTGACCACGTAGAGTGGAACTGCCAGCCAACTAGGGGGTCAATAAGTGGAGGGCAGGGAAGTCATATTCTTTAAACACACGCACCAGGGAACAGAGATCACTCATTCATCCCAGTGCGGGACACACCCCATGGGCTCCAGGCCCTGCCCCGGCGCCCCCAGCACATACTCCCTCCCTGCCAGCCACTGTGCACTGGCTCCTTTTCTCAATGCCCCACAAGTGCTGTCACTGCTGGGCAGTGCCCGTGTGAGCAGGGAATGTTCTGGAACAGAGCACTGAGGACCAGAACCACTTTGTAAGAATAACCAGGTCATCTTAACAGAAGTGAGACTCGGGGCGAACAGTCAGAAACACAAGACAAAGCTCCACATGGCTCCTAAAACATGATTCCTCGTGGGACACCTTGTCCCACATGCAGGTTTACTCTGCACCTTCCACAGGTGCGACAAGCTCTTTGTCCCCTAGACACACAGGGGGACGGGCAGGGGCACCACTGTGGGGACCAAGGGCACAGAATAGGGGTCAGACAGGCACTAGGGAGGGCCCGGCACACAGTGCCCGCCTGCCCCCATCCCTGCCCTCTGATTAAAGTCGTGTTGTCTCTGAAGCGTGGGTTTCTAGGTCCTTGAGGACAGCAGTGGGGGCCAGGCTGCGTGGGTCACACTGGGTCCCTGGTGCAGACGGCTAGTAACCTCGCGGCTTGGCTTCACCGCAGATCCGCCTTGGAATGACACAGTTCCCACCCCGCCACCTCCCCGCAAAATACTGAGCAGGTGATGATCCGCTGACCAGGCAGCCGGAGCCGAGCCGGTGGCCCCGCCTGAAGCTGGTCCTTTTTGTGAAATAAATAGGAGCGTTGCCGGTCTCTGTACCTTGTCCCTGTGCCCCGCCGGCCCGGCCAGGCCACTCACACGCTTGTTTCTGGGGTGTGAACGACCTCCCCGTTCTTCTCGGGCTCTTCCTTCAGGAAGTGCTCCACCTCCCGCGAGTCCACCCTGACATCCGCGGGGGCCGTGTGGAGCTTCTCCTCTGCGGCCACCGCCTCGGGCCTCTTCCCCATGCAGAAGCAGTTACCCAGCAGCAGCACCAGGGACGAGGTGACCACCTCGGCCCCCGCCAGGAGGAACACGTATTTGTAGACGTGTGTGGCGTCCAGGAGCTTGCCTAAAAGAGGACCGAGTCAGCGGCGGCAGCAGGGCCACCCCTGGGGCCCAGGGCTCCCGCTAAGGCCTCTGCTGTGTCTGCTGGTGTCTCTCGGCACTGGAGGAGCGCCCCACACACGGGAGCCAGTGGGGACAGGAGGAGCTTTCCCCGTGCACTTCGTGTGTGCTGGGGGTGGGGGTGTCCGCAGCGCATCCTCTGCCCCCAACCACTTCCTCCTCCTCCCTTCTCCCCAGGACAGCAAAGACTGACAGGCTAAAAACAGAAGTGGCTTTGCAGAGGGCGTGGCACCCTCCTGTGTCTGGCAACCCCAGATCCCACGACGGGAGGGTGGGACGGGGTGGCTTTGAGCTCCCTCCCCGACCCTGGGCCCTTCTGGGGCAAGGAGGCTGGGGGGTCCCACAGGGCCAGCTAGTCCAAACCATTTTAAGTTTCAACTTTTCTCAGTCGCCCTTCAAAAAGAACAGAAGCCCAGGGGCACACCGACCGCGCCCGCGCCGGCCCAACGCCAGCACGCCCTCCCGCAGCACACGCTCACCTCCAGACGGGGGCCCGATGAGCACGGCCATGGCCTCCAGCAGCAGCACCAGGCCGATGGCGCTGGGGAACTTGTGGGTGCCCACGACGGCCATGAGCACCTCGAACTGCAGCGCCCCCACCATGCCGTAGGAGATGCCGAAGAAGATGCAGAAGACCACCAGGCCACCGTAGTTGCTGGCCGTGGAGCCCGTGAGGTCGGTGAAGCCGTTGAAGAACATGGCAAAGCTGAAGAGGTAGACAGAGTAGGGCCGCACCTTCTTGAGCCCCGTGATGAAGCCAGCGGTGGGCCGGGCGAAGATGTCGATGAAGCCCAGGATGGTGAGCAAGAATGCAGCCTTCGTGTCGGGGACACCCATGTCTTTGGCGTAGCTCACCACGAACACCGGCGGCACAAAGAGCCCCAGCACCATGATGGAGGCAGCCACAGCGTAGATGACGAAGCCGCGGTCCCGGAAGACGCTCAGGTCCAGCAGGCGCCGGGCCGGCCGCTGGGGTCCTGGTGCCACGCCAGGCTGGGGCGCCACCAGGGGCCTCATGAGCGCAGCGCACACGCAGCAGTTGAGCAGCAGGCCACCCAGGATGAGGAAGCCACCCCGCCAGCCGTAATGGTCCTGCAGCACCTGCCCCAGCGGGGACAGAGCACACAGGAACACGGGGCTGCCTGCAGCCGCCAGCCCGTTGGCTATGGGTCGCCGCTTGTTGAAGTAGCGGTTGAGCATGATGAGTGAGGGCTGGAAGTTGAGGGCAAGACCCAAGCCTGGAAGAGAGGGCACTGCTGAGACCCCCGCCTGGGCCACTCTGCCCCACCCAGGTCCTGCCCCGCACAGGCTCCACCCTAAATGGTTCCGCAGTGGGTCCCACGTGTCGATGGAGTAGACCTAGCCGTGTGCAGAGGCCCTGCCACCGACACACTCGAGAAGCCAGGGGCAGGCCAGGGTCCCTGGGGGAACGTGCCCACTGCTCCCTGCACTGCTCTGGAGGGAGGGGAGGTTGTGGCCAGGACATCCCACGGCTGCCTGCCTCATCCTCCAGAAGCATCATGGCCCACCTGATCCCCAGCCCCCAGGCACCTGTGACCCCACTGGGCCCCACTCACCAGTGATGACCCCAGTGGTAAGGTAGACCTGGATGATGCTTCTGCAGAAGGACGCGGCCACCATGCCCAGGGATGCGAAGAGGCCACCCACCAGCATGACGGGCCGGCAGCCGAAGCGGTTCACACACACGCTGCAGAGCGGGCCTGGGGGAGGCAGCAGCTGAGGGGCGCCAGTCCAGGCCTCCAGCCAGGCCCTGTCCTCCCCACACCCCCGCCTGCAGCTTGGCAGGCACCCCAGGAGCGCCCTGTAGACCAGGTTCCCAGAGCATAAGTCCCAGGTGGACATGTCACATTGTAGGCAGAGCACAACTCATAGCATAAGTTCTTCCCCGTTAGCAATCTGCATCCCTCATCAAGAACTAGGTAGCTCCTAAAGAACGGCTCCCAGGAGCCTCAGGCTCTGGGACCATCTATACAACTGACCCGTTCAGACAGGAGCCAAGACAGACTTCTCCTGCGCACATCTGGTCCCATGGAGGACAGATAGCTCCCCTCCAGAGTTCCCTTTGGGCCTGGGTGGCAGGCCCCGAGCCCCGGGATGAGTGGCCTGGTGCATGGATGGCCTCACCTGTCCCATAGAGCATGGCCAGCAGGATGGAGGATATCCAGGCCGTGTCGCTGTAGCCAATCCCAAACTCCCGAATGAGCTCCTTGAAGAAGACACTGACGGCCTTCGGGAAGGCGTAGGAGAAGCCCGTGATGACAAAACAGCCGAAGAGCACTGCCCAGCCCCAGCCCCCATCGGGGGCCTTGACGCCCACGGGACCCTCGTCGACCACAGCTCCTCCCATGGCCAGGAGGGCTGGTTCCACCTCACCTGTGAGAGGAAGCAGGCTGGCTCAGGTCGCCGGCAGGAAGGGTGGTGACAGACACAAGGAGTGATGGGCACGTGGAGCCGCACACACTGAGGGATGGCCCTCGGCCAGACACCCCCAGCAGGAGCTCGGGATCCCCCACTGCTGGCCACTGCTACCAAGTCCTTGTGCAACTGGGGCCGTTGTGTGTCCCCTCCGCCCAGCCTCCTGCTTCCACACAGCTGGCTCTGAAGGGCAGAGGCTTTTTTGGGCTCAGCCAGGACTCGGATTACCTCCTGGGAAGAGCAGACCCCAGCAGGGAAGAACACCTGGCTGGTACTTTCTGCCATGCTGTGTCCTCCCGGCCTGACCCTGTGCTGGGAAGTAATTCTGGCAGCAGCCTGCACTTCCCGCCAGCACTGAGCTCTCCCCCAGAGCATCTCCTGCCTAAATCTAGGGGTTCCGACCTTCCCCTTGCTATCCTGCCCCTGAGGGGCCTGGGCTCCCACTCCTGCCCACTCTGGCTGAGAGCCTGGCAGGGAGGTCCGAGCACCAGGTATTGAGCAGGGGCAGGGGAGTGGGCGAGGTAGGAAGGGTGGGGGTGAAGGCTGGCCACCTGTCCCCTTTGGGCCCTCAGAGGAGGACCCGCCTGCCTCTCCTCACTGCATTGGTGCCCCGACTCTTCCAGTGGGTAGAGCTTGCAAGTCCCACCTCTGCCAGAGTTACCCCAGGCTGAGGCTCCTCAGGAGAGACTGAGGGCCTTGGTGCCATTTAGGGAAGATCTGGAGCCAGAGGAAGCCAGCGCGGAAGGGACGCAGGGCCCGAGGCCAGAGGGGGACTGGTGGGAGGAGGCTTCCATCCAGCCCACCCCAGCAAACTGTGCTGGCCGAGGAGGGGCCGGCCTGAACTTCCTGGTATCTCCAGGAGCTTAGCTCCCTTGAGGCAGAGCAAGCCGGAACGCTGGGGCCACACTTCATCCCTTGCCCCCACCAGAAAGGCCTAACCCCAGAGGTCAGCCTGCTGTCCTCGTCCCCCACCTCACCAAGGAGAGCTGCAGCAGGGTCGGTGTCCTGAGACCTAGGTGTGGTCCCTGCAGGCTACTGGGCCTCTCCCCGCCAGTGGTGAGCTGTGAACCAGGTTCTCTGTAAAGAAGAAAGCCCTGGTATGTGGCATCTGCAGATCTCCCTGCTGTGAGCGCTCCCCGACCGGGATCCTCGGATTCCTCCTGCAAATGTGCTCACGGACCCTTGACCTGGCAAAGCCCCGTGAGTGATTGCCCACTCCTGCTGCTAAGGCACGCATGTAACCTAGAGGCAGGGCTCTGTTGGAGAGCCTGAGCGCAGCTGAGAGTGGAAGGCTGCTAATTCCTCCTGCTCGGCACCTCCCAGCATCCACGCTGCCCGCCATCCCCAGCCACCCCCACCCCAGGTGCCGTGCCCACTGGAGCCTTCAGTGGTCTGGAGGGTGTTTTTAAGGGTTTCCTGGGTGTTCCAAGCAGTTGCTACTACCCGTGTCATTTGGTGACTGGGTCCCCCAGGGGCCAGCTGTGGCTGTCAAGGTGATGATGAGCAGACATGGCCTACTGAAGCAAAACAACCCCCTGCCCCGGGCCGGGCCAAGGGTCAACTTCAGAGCCTGGGCGAGTTCCTGGGGCCACTTCTGGGAAACCTGAGAGAAGCTCCCGCCTACCCTGCACCCAGACTCCTGACACGAGTTCCTGGGGCCACTTCTGGGAAACCTGAGAGAAGCTCCCGCCTACCCTGCACCCAGACCCCTGACGCCCTCGGGCCCTGCCCTCCACTGGGAGTTGGGAGAGTCCTGGGGTGTCTCTGAGGCTGCCTGGCGGGTACAATCAGCTGAAAGGCACGTGAGAGCCGACACGACCCAAGGAGAAGCCCACCCCCCTGGGATCTACGTGCAGACATGTCCACAGACCCTTGACCTGGCAAAACCCCTGTGGGTGGTGTACAGGTAACCTAGACACTGGCCTAGGGTGGGAGTAAGGGCCGAGTCTGGTGGGAGCACAGGCTTAGGGGCCCCACCCTGGGTTGTCCAAGGTTCAGGGTCTGCAGCTCCCCCAAGAGTGGCCTACTGGCCTTCCAAGGCAACCTGTGATCATCCAGCCACATGCCCAAGCCCAAGCAATGCCTGAAACAGGACAAAAGCAGGGTATCAAAGCACAGACACACCAGGTGGGGACCATCAAGCTGCAGGATGACTTGTCTATGTTTGCATTAAGTTTAAAGGCCCCCCTAAGATTATATGCATCAGGATAACTTAAAGTACACACACACGCACACACACACACACACACACCCCCAAGATTATATGCATCAGGATAACTTAAAGTACACACACACGCACACACACACACACACACACACCCCCCCAAGATTATATGCAGCAGGATAACTTAAAACTATATGCATCAGGATAACTTAAAGTACACACACACGCACACACACACACACACACACACCCAAGATTATATGCAGCAGGATAACTTAAAACACACAGACACACACACACAAAATGCAAGAAGAAAAGCACGGGAACCCGAGACCTAGGACTGAGAATGAGGTCGTGGGGGAGAATGGGGGTCCCAGCTTGTGCTGGGTCTTGGGTTTACATATGTTTATTGCACTTTTTAAAACATATCAAGTGGGCCATGCAAGGCCAAGGATGGTGGGTGTCCAGAACCCACAATAAGGAATCGCCTGACTTCTATACAAAATCCGCTCCCTCCCAAGAAAATAAAAAAGCTGATGCATCGGGACTGGGGCCTCTGAAGCCCCCCGGCTCACTCTGCCATGCCTGGCACTTGCCAGGGGACCACAGGCATCCCCAGACTTTTGAAGCTCCTGTTCCTTTGTTGTCCACTGCTCGGGGCTTTTGAACCTTTGTAGGAAAACCCCTTGATAAGCAGCGTTGGATAAATGGTTCAGAAAAGCTGTGTAAAACGTAATCACACATAGCTTGACAGACAGGGGTACAGGGGAAGGCGTTGGTGGGGTGGTCAGCTGCCTGCGGGGGAGGAGGCACCCCCTGACCTACAATCGAGGAGGGTGGGCAGAGAGTTGGGGTGGTGCTCGGACTCAGAGGCCGGAAGGGCACAGCGCATGCTGTGGCCTGTGTGGCCATGGGGCTGCCCTGTCTAGACCCAGGGGGAGGAGGTACCCACCAAGGTCCAGCGAGTGCCGGCATGTCTGTGAGCACGCGCCAGGCATGCTGGCCTTTCAGTGACATTTACCCTCCCAGGGAAGCATGCAAACCAGCCCAGAAATAACCTGTCCTTTGGGTCTCGGAAAGCTGATCCACCAGGTGGGAGGGTGTGCCCGCCTCCAGGTCAGGCGAGGCTCCAGGGTGCTCACCAGGCCTAGTCCCCAAGGTCCTTTGAAGGCCCCACGACCCCAAGCTGCCAGCAGCTGAGCAGGGGAGGGCCTATGGGGGTGAGGGAAGGGGCATGGAAGTGCCTCGGATGACCCAGGAGACCCCACATCGGAGAATCCAATGTACCCTCCCAAATCAGGAGCCCCTGTTCCCCAGCTCCCTCAAGGCTCCGGGCAGCAGGGCTCTGTCAGGATCCCAGCCCCCATGCCGCACAGCACAGGTTCTGGGCCAGGACTCAGCCATAAGGCCCTCAAGGCCAGGCCCCTGCAGCTGGCTTCACCGTCTGCCTACCCTCGCCCAGCCTGGCCCAGCCCGGAATGCCTCACACACAAAACCCCACACAGGGAGTGTTTCGAGCCTGCCCCTCCGGACCTCTCTTCAGTAGCCTTATTCAGAAACCTTGCCCACCTCTTCAGGGACCCCTGGGTACCCGGCATGCTCCGCCTTAGGCCTCTGGACCAGCGTCCCCTCCCCCGTCTGGATCCTCGGGTCTGTGCACAAGGCAGGCCACATCCCTGGATGCAGTGGCCCAAGCCCTAGAGCCTGTGGCCTGTCCCAGATGCTCAGTAAGTTCCGGCTTACTGGGGAAGGCTGGCTTCATATCTAAGTGATTTCCTGTCATTGAAGGGACCGGTCTTGGCCCTGCCTTTGTGGCCCATGCAGGAGAAGGAGCAGAAAAAGGGGCAATTACATTCCTTCCTGGACTCTTCCCACATCAGAAGCCCTGGGAGGTGCCTCAGAACCAAGACCAAGGACACGGCCCCGTTGTGGCTGCACCTGGCTTCTTGCAAAGCCAGCAAGGGGTGGCAGAGGGCAAGCTGGTGTGGCACCCGGGGGAGGGGGAGGGCCTCCCTCCTTCCATCCCCCCACCCCTGTTGAGCAGAGAGGTAACAAGCAGATCTCAGAAGCCTCTGGCCAGAGTGCCTGTTCCCCTCCCTGTGGGAGTGAGACCAGGCCACCTCAGCCCTGTCCCCACCTGTGTGCAGACGTGTGTTAGGGGAAAGTGCCGGTGGCTTTTTCTAAAGAGGGGTCCAGGCTGGCAGAGGGTGGGCACTGGGAAAAGATCTGCCCCAGGCCTGATCCTGGCCGGCTAAGCCTGGCCTGGGCCTTCCTTGCCCTCTCCACTGACCCATGCAGCCTGCCAGCGCGTGCCTGGCGCCCCTGCAGGTTCTTTGTGTCGGCCCACATTGTACTTGCAGGGGTCAGTGGGGCGGAAACGCTGGCCGCCTTTGCCAGACTGGACACTGTGGCCAGGGGCCAGCCAGCAGCTCAGGGTTGTGGCCAGGGCCAGGATCCCCAGTTGTACCCCCCAAGGATGGCTGGGCTCAGATCCCGCAGGCGGAGCATCCACCCTGCTGCTTCAACCCTCCGCTGCAGCCCAGTGGGTGGCCCTGGGCGCATTTTCCAGCCCGCAATTGGAACCCCCTTCTCTGCAAGGTTGGGGTCAGTGTCATGGGGCCAGGAGGCCCTGGAGGCTGGAGCCGGCCCAGCACCGCCCTCCCCCACCTGCTGGAACTGGGAGTGCCGGGCTACTCCTCCACGAGGCCACCTGGTCCCATGCCTCTGGTTCATCCCCCCACTCTAAAGCCCGTGCCCTAAGGCCAGGCCAGGAGAGGGGCTCTGGGGTCAGGAGGAGCCTCTCCCACCGTTACCCATCAGGCGTGGTGGGGGCAGGTGGGGAGGAGGGACCCTGGGCTCTGCCCGCGCCCGCTCCCGCTTCCCGGCTCGGGGCGGGGGTCGTGGGGCGATCCGGGCGGGCTGGGCGGGTCCCACCAGGGTAGATGCAGGAGGGGGAGCGGCAGGGAGGATGCTCCGCCCGCTCAGCCGCTGGACGTGGGGGACGTGACCGCGCCAAGGGAGGCGCCGCCGCCGTAGTGCCTGGAGTAGGCGCCCTCCCCACGTGCTACCGTAGTTGCCGGCGCGCGCGGCAAACAGCGCGAGCGGCCCGGCCCGTGGCTCCCCCGGGTCACGGCCCGCTTCGTTCGCCGCCCTCCGCAGGCGGGACGGGCGGGCGAGGCTCCGGGATGGGAAACGTTGATGCGAACCGCGGGTCCCCGCGCCCGGCCCACTTCACAGATGGGGACTGAGGCGGGACGTCCGAGCTCCCCCCAGGTGACATTGGGAGGATGCCCCAGGCCATGTCCGCTCCCGCCCCGCCCCTGCGACAGGGCCCGGTGCCCGGTGCACCCAGCGGCCTGATCTGGAGGCACTTCCAGTGGCTCCGCAACACCACCCAGAAGGGCACAACCAAGCCCAGGGTGTCACCCGGACTTGACATTTAGCTCCTCACCAGGAGGGGATGGCACTGACCCTTCCCCTCCCACAGCAGCCCGGTCACTGCAGGACCCGCCCTGGAGCCAGGCCTGGCACAGGGGTCACTGCGGGCCACTGGGTGGGATCCCATAGGGCGCCTCTACATACACGCACTCCTCAACTGCTGTTCTGGGGTCAACAGAGCCCTCTTGCTGCTGCCCCGCCAAACTCAGGCATCCATGCTCCAGTCAACGAGGGCCAGACGGGCTTCTTGGTGGCAAGTTATTGCCAAGGTCACCTGGGGTTGCATGCAAGCCTGCCTTGGGACCAGGTCCCCCATGCCCACCCCAGGCCCTGTCCACACTGTGGACCCTGGGTTAGCAAGGCTCCACACCTGCCAGGGCAGGGCCCCCAGTACCCGCAGAGCATCGGTGGGGCAGGGCCCTCCAGGCACAACCTCCTAGGAACCTGAGGGAGCCC